ACCGAGAACCGGGATCATATATGTATATGTGTATATATATATATACAGATGTATATTTATAAGTATACATACATATATTCTTGTACCTACGTATTTATGCACATTCAAACATAGGACCATATTTACAGGAGTATAGACCTACAGACGTACATAAATGCCTACATAAGTTTCCAGGTACGTTACTTAAACGCAGACATAGATAAATTTAAGACATACATACGTAGATTAACGCATACATACGTAGACAAACACATACATACGTACACAAGTACATACATACGTAGATGAATACATACATACGTACAAAAGTACATGCATACCTACAATAAGTACGTGCATACGTACATAGAGACATGCAGACGTACATACGTATATACATACATGCATATGTACAAGCATGCTTACATACGTACACACACACACACGCACGATAACGCATGTAAAAACATGCAAATGTATATATGCATATATATATATGTATGCCAAATACATGCAGGCCTGCCCAGGACCCGGGGCGGGCTCATGGGCCCTTCTCGGCGTCTGCGATCGTCACATGTGTGCATTCAATGCGGCCTGCTTTCTTCCGGATCCGTACATTTATTGACATGTTCGTTCTGCATATCACTGCCTCTCTTCTTCATCTTGCAATGCTCCGAGCACAGGCTCAGTTGTAAAATCATGTGGTCGCCGACGGATCATGCTTTGCCCCAGCGAGACATTCGCAACCAGCGACCAGAATTTGTGCATACGACTGCCCTGCCCAATGCTGTCGCTGCGTTGTGCCTTGCATTATTAGGCATGGCACCTGTCGCAGCATGCGCACAGGCCACGGTCCCAGAAGCATGTGACGGGGACAGCCTGACAGCCTGAGACTAAGGCGCAGGCGACCCAGGCCACTCTGGGGCAATCGCCTCAGCCGTTGACGTCGGGGCCTGAGGATCGTCGAAGCGCTGAGTCGCTCGGATTCGCCCAGCACGGCTCAAAGCTCTGCTCTTGTCGTTCCGGTCAAGAAGTTCAGAGCTGAGCCTGCCGCAGCCTGCCCCTACCTCAGTCGTGGGTTCACCCATCGCTGTCTCGTGCCAATATGGTTTTAGTTGCTGCGCACCAAGGATCACATGGCCTTTCATTGCATATTGCTTCGGCATGGAACTCCTGTACCAGAGGAGCAGGATCCGGAGAGACCACTTTCGGACCAGGGGCACAAAGATGCCGACGCTTGGACTTACTGTCAGCTTGTCCTTCTGTGTGTCGCAAGTTGCTCTGTGGCCATCCTCACGTTTCACAGCCTCTGAAAGAAGCAAGGAAAGCACAGCGAGCGCTGTTGCTGCATATTTGCAGTCCGTGACAGCGGACAGAGAGGTGCCTTTTGCTGCAGGAGGTATGATTGTTAAAGGTGATGATGACGCTTCCAACTAGGACAAGGATGACAAGTGAGCAGCGAAAGATGAGGAGTATGCGGCGAATGACAGTGGTGATGATGAGTGTAGCATTGATGTTGAAGTTGATGTTGTCGAGTTGTCGAGGCCAGTGTTTCTGCTGATGCTGCTTCTGGTGATGCTGACGAGGAGGAGGCGGAGGAGGATGAATACGGTATCTCGGTCGGACGACCCGCCCCTAGAGATGCACTTCCCGTGGTGGGCAGATACTATCACCGGTTATTCCGCGTGGAGACATTACGGGCGAAATTTGCTTGTATTTGGGAGCGTAGAAACTGGCAATGAAGTATCACAATGGCGCGTGAATATACATTGCGAACATAGAACCAGTGTAGAACCTATAACGTTGACCTTAAGACTTGAACGAAGCCAAAAGCAAAGTAATCTTGGGCTCGTTGCGCGACTTGGCTGATGCAAGGATGCCCGAGGAGTATAGGCGTAGAAGATACAGTTTGACTATTGACGCTGCAAGACTTCTTGCTCTCGAAGTGGAAGACTGCAACGGATGATGAGTTCAGATTACTTCTTCGAAGCCATGTTCGAGAAAACATGACTGCAGCTATCACATCTATTGTCAAATTCATTGACACCTCAAGGACACGTGAAGCTGTTAGTTTGCAACAACGGTTTTTCTGTGTGTCAACAGCGCATCGGATAGTACCACCGTTAAACGTCTAAAGCTAAACTGATTTGCTGCGAAAGGAATCCCCTTTCCTTGTGGACATGCGCTTGGTTCAGATTGGAGATTCGGGGTTCATCTGGGTTCCATTCCCCACTGTGTGTAGGTGGGGGTGGGCGGTCCTTGTTTGGCTTTGCTCAATCCTTCCTTCTTCTGTGGGTCTGGGGATATCGAGATCCGTAAAAAGACAGCAGTCATGAGAATATCAACCCTGAGCCCTGAACACTCCATCTCTGTGACAGTTCGTTGAAGTGAATGCACAACGGCACCCACTAGGATCGCAACGCCGAGACTTTCCTCACTTTTGAGACATTGGAACACATCGAAATCACATCTGCAGACATCAATAACAAAATGTCACGAGGGTTTGAGCCACAAGCCACCCCATCTGGTTACCTGTTCGCATCTTTGAGACGTCGTGTTGACAGCAAGATCAAGAAACAACACTACGAGGATTTGAGCCCCAGTCGACCTGATCCGTGTGCAGGACCTGTCGGCGCGAGGCAGCATGACAAAACCAAAAGCCTGCGACTGTCACGCAGATTCCCGGCTGGCCGTCCCACCTGAAGCACAGCGGATGGACGGAGGCTGCAAACGACACACGTGTGATCATATGCCATGGAAAGCATTGAGCGGAAAACGCCGCGGCAAGTGGCAGAAATTTCAAGAACGGCAAAGTTTGAAATGGATTCACAACCTGCGCTGCATGCACAAGGCCGGCATCATTTCATGCCCGGTTGCAGTTTTGTAGAGGTTATATGAGAGCAAAGCACGAAGAGTCACTTCCAGAGCAACAGTATCTTAACAACAGATGATCCAGATTTTGAGAAAGACTGAGATGGTTGATGGCAAAGAGCACTATTGCCGTCATGCCTGTGGAAATGATAGTATGTTGGAATCTATGTGGGGAAGCCTGTGAGAAACCGTCGTCAGATAAGCGACGAAGTATAATACAGCTATTAACGAGGGAACCTTCGCCCAATTCCGGAAGATTATTCCGGCTCAGTTCTTGGAATGGGGAGGTAGCTATATCTGGGCTTATGGACGCACACCCTGCCGAGGCTCGCTATAATCGGCACGGGGCTGGCTTGAGGCGCCGGGCTTTCTTCCCACGGGGTCACTCGGTTTCAGGAATTTGAAACACCAAAATTGTGCCGAAAAGGAAGGCGGGAATGCCGCAAAAGGAACGCGATCATTGACTGGAGTCAAGTCTCTGTTTGCAGACTGCGATTTCAGTCGAAACCACAGCAAGCCATTTGTGGGGCAGTTGCCACAATGGCTGGAAGACGAGACCATGAGCATCCATGCGTCGAAAAGACCAATCCCGGCCAAGCTGCACTGAAGCGAAAAAGAAGAGGCTGGTGCAAGCCAAGAAAAGGCAAGAATTCGGCCAACTCAACCTGTCCTCTGTGCTTGCGACTCCTTCAGCCCATGAGGTCCTTGTAGCACACAGCGGCAAGCTGCGTGCGCGACAGACGGCGGAAGCCGTCATGAAGGCCTTGCTGGTGACCGGTTTTGAGGCGTCTCCAACTCTGGCTGCGTGCTTGCAGTCTTTGCTCCATTTGCTCTAGTGCCCGGTTTGAAGGCGTCATGTGAAGAACGGGTTGGGCTGAGCCCGAATGATGAGCCGGCGGCATCTTTGGAGCTCCTGGAGTGCGGTCCGACAAAGGTGCTCCTGCTTTCCCTTGGTACTCGTTGTAAAGGCTCAATCAAGCTAGGACAGGCTGTCCTAGGAGGAAACAGGGCTTGACTTAAGCAGTGCAGGTGCTCGTGGGCCATCTCCCTCACATGGGAAAGCTTGCTGCGGCGATGATCAAGTCGCCTGCGGCTGCTGGGAGACTTGGTGGACTTTTTCATCCTGTGCCTTGGCTTGGAATTTACACACCCTGCCTCTTGCCTGTCAATGCTATCATGCTACGTACTGTCATGGTACTGTCTGTCATGCAGGCAGGCGGCTTAGCGCTTCGCCGCGAGAATGCGGACTGGGTCGAGGCTGGGACCTGAAAACATCCTCACCTGTTCTCTGGGATGCCGATGCACTGAATAGGCCGCCGAAGTGGTTTGCGGCGAGCCATGGTGGAACAAAGCAGATGCCTAACTGAGGCAAGTGGGGGCTCAGTGTGTTGGTTTGACTCAGTCTAGAAGGATGTGGGAGATTTGGCTCGTCACTGACCCTGCAGGCAGAAGCTGCCGAGTGGTTGCGGTGTTTCACTGTCGGTTCAAAGAAGCCCAGCATGCGCAATGAGCACTGCGTGCGCAGAGCAACACATTGATTTCTTGGAATGTGTTTTAGAGTGATTGCTGGACGGAGGCCGAAAGTTGCAACAATCCTGACGGTGGCCGTGCCCGCGGAGGACCTCATGTCTCTGACAGATTTGCTGACCTCTCTGAAAGTCCACAATGCGAGCCGCTGTGGCAGGAGCGGCGTTCTTCGAGTGTCACTACGCACCGGCAAGTTCTCATGCTGCCCAAGTGCGCCGAGAGCAACTGTTCACCGCTAGTTTGTTAAGGTTGTAGTACGTAGCAGGCGGCTCAATGACGCATCCAGCCGCGAGCTTATTTCTGCTGACGCTGTCATGTCGTGAGAGCTGCCGGGCGGGTTTGAGGACCGACCTCGCAACGCGCAACCTTTCCGAGTCGACCAAGTGCCTATGTACGGATCTTAGTACAGATGAGCACACCTGACCTGTTTGTTGGTCTGCCTAACCACCCCTTTTGGTATCGCTTGATGTTACAGCGACGCAGTCGCCATGAGAGCTGTCAAGGAGTTGTTCTGTTCCTGAGGCGCAGGTCATTGCTCAGTCGCCACCCAGGCCTCTGTCATGGCTAGACACAGGTGTAAGATGCTATAAGAGTGCGCCGGGGAATGAAGCATGGTCTTGGGATGGAAACCTGTGAATCGATAACGCTGGCCGCCCCGAAAACGGGCAGGAAAGTTTTTGTAGGCTGGCACTGCCCACTGTCATGAGCATGTGGGAGGGATGCAAGAGGCTCCTAGGTTCAGGTGTGTTCAGGTCGCTCTGGCTTCGACCCCTTCCGTCCCCGCTTACACCCGAAGGTCTGAATTCCTTGAATCTCACCGGGCTGGGCAGGAGTGCGCCAGAATATGCTGCTGTCATGGCTCCGCGAGGACGGACACCGACAGTTGCAGTGTCCTGCACTTGCCGAGTCTATGCTGTGCACGATTCGGAATGTCAGGCGATACAGGATAGCAAACTGGCTAACAGCTAGAGAAGGATCACACAGAGGGGAGGGGGTGGAACCTCTCTGCTCCTTGGAGCCTGCCTGCACAGGGCACAGCCTTCCTGCACCAGCGGGACCACCGTCCTGCTCTCAGCTCACAGGCACGTGGACTTCATTGAATTCGGAACGTACTGTGATTTCTCAGCCCTGCAGACATGGGCCTTCCGAGGCAATCTCACAGGTACCGTCTGCAAGCAGGCCCGCCACTGAGTCCAAGGGAGGGGAGAGGCGTCCCAGAGTTTGTGCCAGGTGGACGCTTTGTTTAGGCTGTCAGTGCCGTGGGCCCGGACCTTGCAGTGCCTGGCGGTGTGGACATCCCTGAATGAGTTCCAGCATTGGTCCACGGGCGTTCTATTCTGTCTCTGACATTCCCAAGTCACCGTCACACGACTCTGCACTCTAAACGTCGGATCGGCATGCCTTTCAGGAAGCCTCCGTGTGCTGGTTGTTCGCATGACCGAAACGAAGCTGTAGCTGTTGTTGTCAGCAAACTCCCCTCCACAAAGAAAGCGGCCGGATGCCAGGCACGCAGCTCGGAGTTCTGGAGCAGCTAAACCATGTTCGTACTTTCCGGCACACGACTGAACCAGTGCCGTGAGAGGCCAGCATGAGCCGCAGTCTTCGAGAGTGTCTTCGAGGCAGCGGCTTCAGGCAGCGAAGGAGCGGACGCAGAGATCTTGGGAATCTTGGCAGCATCTGCGGCAAGTGAAGGATGCCCTTCTGGGCTGTGCCTGGTCGACACTGAATTCGTGTCCAAAAGCCGATCGTCTGCCTTCCCACAGGCTTGGTTCAAAAATCTGGATGGTGTTCGCTGCGTGCGACAGATCACACATGGCTTGATGAAGCGAATCCTGGATGCAGACCCTTCATCTCCCTTCCCCGTAATGAGACTACGTGCCACGGCTCAGCTCAGGGGTGAACCGTTCTCTGGTCCTCGGCTTTTTGCTCTGGGACATGGCTGTTTCGACTGGAATGACATTCTTCTACTTCATGCACGACAACATCGCAAATCTGGGGCTGGTCAATGAGCACTTTGTGCGCTTGATCGGCATTTTTCGGTTGCCACGCAGCTGCAAGCTTCCTGGAGTCCCGAACGGGTTGCACTCTTGGATTCAGGAAGGCTCTGAGAAAGTTCATCACCCTTTTGTGCTTCCACAGGCTGGCAGTTGTCGCGGGGCTTGTGGTGGTCCTGCGGAGAAAGCACCGCCTGGTTCGACTTTTCTTCACCTCGTTCATCCTCAACTGGAGACTCTGGCAAAGAAGTAAGTGGCCAAGTCACCGGAATTGCGTTGGCCGTGCAGGTCGGCTCTTTTGCGGTCACCGCTAGAGTTCGTGTGCAATGAGTTAGCGGCTTGAAGGGACTGAAGGACTGCGCGAAGAGCTAAGGATTGTTCTGGGTGTGCCGCCTGACTCAGTCATAGCGGCCTGATGCATCTGTGGCGTCTGAGCCGCCGCTGCTACGGCACGCCAAGGATTTTCTTGGTTCCGGTGGTTCGACTACAGTGCTCTTGCGTTGACGGCACCTGGGAGCAGTGCAATGCCATGCAAGACTTCTGGGAAACAGGCGGGGGCTGCAAAAAAGTATTGCTCTCGAGGTTGAGACTACGGAATCTAGCCTACTGAAAAGGGAAATAAAGATACGTCCTTTGAAAGCATAAAGAGGACTGGCTTAGGACTGCAGTCTTTTCTTTACCCCTGGGTTGGTTTTTATCAGACGTCGTGCAAGACTATACTGTGAAGAAGTTCTGGGAACCAACTTCTGCAAGAGTTATCTTCTCGAGTCAGAGACAATCTGTCCTAACAGGCAGGGCACTTACCAACTGATGCGAAGAAACTAACTGGACGTCCGCCAAATCGAATCTGAAGGCCTGCAGACACCCGACATCCTCAAAACCGCACGAAGCGTGTCGTTGCTTTCTTGAAAGGCCTCCACATAAACTTCAAACCCGCGCCAGAGAAGTGGCAGCTTCGCCGCATTGACCGCAGTGTCTGAAGCTTTCAGGTGCCCAGGGAGTCAAGGTAACGCTGTTACGTTGTACATCACATGTTGCTCCACCGCGTTGTCTGATATGGCGTGGGAGCTAGCTGACACCTTGCAGCAGGTAGATTGTTGCTTGTGCTGTTGCAGGCGCTGCATGTAACTTCATGTAATTGTCTCCAGTGCCTTGCCTTGAACTGCAACTGCCAGTACTTTGGCGAGTGGATTCGAGGCAAGTAAAGCAAGACGGCCACCTCAACAAGTACATAAAAGCCACGAAGCCGAAGTAGAACTTCTGCCTTGCTGTTGTGCTTGATGTTGCTCGCAACCTTGCAGACCTTGCTACGAGGTGCAGCCCATGCCGAAGACGGATCAGGAGAAGACAGACGCATTGACAAAGCTTCTGTTTGCCACATCGCAGGAGCGGGAATCAGAAGTTCTACACTTCTAAAAGGGCATGTTTGGGGCTGACACGGGCTGAAAGGACGAGCGACAAAAGTAATGTACATAAATTACAGGAGCCTTACCGTGCAGCATTGCAGGCTTTCTCTGATTTCCCTCCTATCCTTGTGATGAGAGCAGCTCGTTCAGAGCCAGGCTGCACGCGTCTGACCCACCTGTCGCCCGGAGAGGATGGCCGCAGCCTTCTGGAGCGCAGAGAACGGAACGAGGCCCGGGGGATAAGGAATGAACGGAACGAGGAGGGTAAATGTCAACTTTCTTGGTAATTGAGCTCAGGTCTCCCGCCTGCCGAAGCGACTGCAGGGCTACAAGTCGGCGGATCATTTAGGTACGGCCACGGCAAAAACTGGGATCTGCAGGTCGAACTAACTTGTGTGACAGGCCAGTCCGCGTCCTTCTGGGCCATCCGACAGCGCCCAACAGCCTTGCTTCAAGCTCACACCAGCGACGATATGCATCTGCATGGAAGCATCTGGGAAAACTTCAGGATACATGACCCCTGGCAGCCACATAGGATGTTTGAAAAGCAATAGGCGTCTGGATCGAGCCAGCTGTTGGGGGCTTTGTGCGGTTCTCGCCAGCCCATCTTAGGAAGAGGATCCCGACGCAGGGAATGCAAGCTCCGCGCAGAATTCGACCGCTGTTCGATGCGAGGAGCAAATTTTCAAAGGAAAGCAAGGCTGGCTGGGGGAGCAGGGAGACGTCCAAAACAGGCTTTTGCCGCTCCCTTAACCCGACCGTGAGCCAGAAGCGGCACAATCAGGCTACATCTCGTGACAGGGAAGGGTCCGAAGAGTCCGAACATGTCCGAAGACGTTCACATCTGCAGGACAGCTAGGACAGAGCAAGACTGGAGGATATAGACAGTTAGTCTCGCCGCTGCCCCTTAAGGCCGCTCCTTGATGGAAGAGGCGATGCTCCAGAAGAGTTCTTCTTCGATTAGGAACTCCACGCAATTCGCCAAGATGCTGCTGCGGAAGAGCCTTACAGATCAGCTCATCGACAAGGTCCACGTTACAATGCGGCAGGTGGTGCAAAATCTTCTCAATCAGCCAGAGTTCGAAGCCATTATCTGCGAATATGCCAAACACCACCATGATTTCCATCACAATGATTCGGCCCCCTGGCTGCTGCTGATTCTCCTGGTTGGGAGCAGCGTACCGGCGGACTGCATGTCGAATTCTGTGTTCGCTAGTGTGATACTCATCATTCTTATGTTCTACTTACTCGTCTGGACATCTGAGCTGTAGATTCCACATTGACATGATTTCACTCCGGCGAATGCCAGAAGGCCCTCACTTTTTCCCACGTCCGAAGGTGCTTTGCTAGGTAGTCCAGTCCGAAGGTCCAGATGATTCGTGTCTTTGCGAGTTGTTCGGTCGTTGAATGGCATTCCACACACGTGACATGCGTGCTTCTTAGGATAAAATCGGCAAGCGCCACAAGATGAGGACCAACCACTACTATTGTCCTTCTCAAGAGGCTGTGACCCTTCATCCCACGTCCCTCCCATTGTGACTTTGGTCAGGAAACTTACGGGGGCCATGCTGAAGCAGGGCGCTTTGGCGACGGATGAAACATCAGAGCAAGGACTGGCCGAGCTGCCGTTCAAATCGAGTCCATGCTGGTTTATGTAGAGTCGGGTCATGGAAGATGAGACGTTGTCAATGTCGTCAGGGCATGTGCCGGCGGCTTCAAGGACGATGGAGTTGGCCTATCGAAGAACCGTGTTTCCTTTGCGAAACGTTCTGGAACTGGTTCATGTGAAGGGTGCTTGGGGTTCCAGAAGCTTTCATGATTCACAGGTTTTGTGATTTGTACTCCCGGCTCAGTAGTCTCCAAGCGAGAATGGGGGCAGACTTGCTTTGCAGGACTGTCCAGCAGGGTACCTATCGCTTGCTCCAGTCAGAACTGGAGGGAATGCCCTCGAGGGCAGGCCAAAGCACCACAGTATACCACAGCGACATCCGGCGCAGTTGGCTTAGATGCTTGATGCAGGTATGCAAAGGCTCAGCGAAATGTACAAGGACGCTTTTTTGGCGAGGACTTTGCAAGGCAACTGGACTTGCTTTCAATGTTGCAGGAGATATGCCGCTGTGCTGACTTAGACAGCTGCAGGCTAAGCGAACCCGACACTGGGCCGACGTTCAATCTGCTTCCCGCCCCCTCGTATTGGGACACGCTGGCACTTTCGAAGCTCAGGATGCTTTCTGGTGTTATGTGGATGAGAGCACGCTTCAAGGGTGCAAGGCAGAGGGCATTAAGCTTCGGAAGGATCCAAGCAACAGGAGACTGCACATATCTGCAGCTTTCAGCTCCGGGGCTTTAAAGACAGAGGCAGCGTTTGACAACGCAGTTCGCCGCAGGACTTGGAGTAAAGACCTCTGCGACAAGCGATCATGTGAGCCTGCGGGCCTTGGCATGAAGCCACGCAGCAAAAAGGACAGGAGTTGCCTCGCCCTGCAAGCTTTGATGGCAATGGAGAACCCACTGTGCGCTTGTGGCAGGACCTTGATGTGAAGAGACATCACTACCTTGATGACGATAACACGATCATGAGGTATGGATCAGACTGTGATATCTGGAAGCACACAGACCCAATGGAATGGGCAGCTCGGGCAGCACAAGCTGACGCCTCAAGTTGGAAGGGCCGGGCAGAGAGACTCGGGTCGGTGCGCAAGGCATACGTCGGGTTTGACACCACCTGCATCGAGCGAACGTTGCTTGACAAAGCATGGTGTCTTATTCTGTGCGCCTTAAGTTTGTGCCTCTGGGGATTGTAAGGCGGAGGGTCGTCCCCAAGAACGACTGGCCGGAGGGCCTGCCAAGAGCTCAAGTCTTCGACGGTCTGTCATAGACGTTGCGAGAACAACTGCCGCATGAGCCAGCCCGGAAAAGCCGGAGCAGTGATACACCAGAACGTGCCAGCAAGGCCGTATATGTTCTTGTCCTGGTCTCTTGGCACGCAGATCGGGGGAGGTTGATGGCTACCTCGTGAGAGCTTATCGGCAAGCATGACATGTACCTGTTGCAGCTGCGTGGAGCTGACTGTGCTGAGGACAGCGTGTACATCCAATATGCTGTCTGACACGAAGCTCCCTGACGGGACGGTAGGAGGCTTGTACCACGTGAAGATTCGATGCACTTGGTACCAGATGGTGCCCTGGCCTACACTGACTAACTCGATTATTGTCGGCCATTTGCATGATTCTGGTCTGCTCCATGCGTGTCTTCTGCAGGTTGTGGAAACTTTCCTGATTCTCGATTTGATCTTTACGGTTCCCATGATGGTTCTTGTGCTGCATTCCAGAGACCCCCTTGTGCTCAGAAAGCTTCACTGCTTGCATGTTTCCACGCATGGACACAGGTGATCATGTACTATTTCATTGCAAACCGCTGCGCTGACAACTTGGAAGTCGAGCAGCAGTTCGCCCCCGTAGATGACTCGTCCGATTCATCTGACTCTTTGCCGGCACTTTGTGCGCTGATGCCTTGCATTCCACGATCGTCATCATGTCGCTCCTTGATGAGCTACCTTGAACAAGACATCCGTCAGCTGTAACACTAGTGGGCCACTAGAGGGAAGGGCAGCTGTGCCGCTGCATGTGCGACATTGTACAGGAAGAGTTTCATCCAGAAGCTCCAGACCGCCATGAACATCAAAGACAACAGTCGGAACGTCCGCCATCGCACTCGGGATCAGAGACTCAGGCGCGAGTGTTTGATGCAGAGGCACTTCTCATGCGATGTTGTTTGGCCGTGCCACGGTTGCCAGGGCGTGCTGGAGGCATCATCCAGTGCATGACTTCCATCCAGATTGATGTTTCTTCACTAACGCAAAGGACTTTCGAGGCAAACTTTCACGCGGCTCTGACACTTCGCATCTTGCGTGGAAAAGAGCGACAGCACTGTGCTCCGAGAGCTAGGGCGATTTGCTCACGGTGACATGCTCCGAGGTCCCCAACTTGCCAAAATGGCTTTGAGAGCCCACTTGGTTTCCAGCCTTCTTCCTCAGTCCTGTGTGGCGCGAGAATGAATGCAAATGCAAAGCAGACCAGATGCAAACATCAATCCTTATGTCAGACTGTCAGAATCTGTCAGGCGGACTGTGGGCGCAAGGCTGGCTATAGATTTAATGACTGGAGCTGCTGGTTAAAAGCACCGGCGCCCTTGCAAACATGGTAGTTGTCGACCAAAAAAAGGCTTTGGTGCTCGAGGTTGGAGCCGCGCTCTGAAGTCGTTTCCTAGAAAGGAAAGACACCCTGAGCGAGGAACAGACTTGCTGAAGTTTAGCTAGTCCTCGTGAGCTTTGTCCGTGTAGTGATCCAAGAGAAACGAATAAAAGCAAGAGTTCGAAGAGGGGCTCCGAGATTTACCGTCAACAGCATCAGAAGATATCAGAAGCCAAAATTTACCTCACATTTCCGCGTGGGAAACTCAGAAGCCACGGGTCCACATCGTGTAGAGCTCTGGTGTGGAAGTACTTATAGGCGTTGGCCACACCAGGAAACTTGCTCAGAATGCTGGCACAGCCAGGTCAGTCATGGAAGTAGTCAGCAGATGTCAGCAGATGTCAGCAGGTGTATGCAGGGATGAGTGGAACAGCATGAACAGACTGAGGTGAAGGAACTAAAGCTTCTAATTGAGAAATCAACCTGTTGAAGACCTTTGGAAAGCAGCCTTGCTAGCCAGCGCCTATGGCATTGTTGACTCCTGAAGAATGTGAGGCCGGGACGCGCTCGGATCTCGTAGGAACGTGGAGGATCAACTTGCGTTGTTTCGCGGATGGTTCTGTCGAGGTCGACGTTTGCGTATTGGGCACCGGGCTCACCGAGAGCTTGGTGGCAGCAGCATTTGCGCGCCTTGGACGCCGGCTGCTCCACTTGGACGCCTCCAACGCCTACGGTGGATGCTGGCGCTCACTTTCCCTAGCCGAGTGCCCTGTCACTATTGGGTACCGCTGCGAACCTCGCGTTTTTGTAGCGTCAGATTGATTCATATCGCCGCACTTTTGTGGCTGCTTATCTGGGCTTCGTGGGCGTTTTCGAGGTTCGTCCACTGGGCTGGAGGAAGCACGGACTTCGAGACCCCAGTCTCCCAGGCAATCCTGTGACATGCGCATCCCGCAGTGATATATGCATGCTGCTTCGTCGGGAAGATGCATGATGTGCACTTTCTGTAGGTTTACGGCATTTTCTGATCGTTCCCGCACTTTGCCGAATCTGGGCAGGTTTCTGGAGGCGACTTCCGTTCTCTTCCGCAGCAGGTGCGCTGGCGCGTTCGTCTCCGCAAATGCGTTTGGAAGTGAGACTCCGCCAAGGCTTGGAAAACCATTCATCGGCGATGTACGAAGGCGCCGCTTGGCGCCGAGATTTTTAGACCGAGGCACGAACTACTTGCTGCAAGCAGCTGAGTCGCCAAGTCGTCGCTCCAACTCTGGGCAGGCATGAATTCGAGGAAGAGCCTGAAACTCCTCTTCAAGATGAAGCCCTTGCGAGCGGGGAGATTGCCCTCAGGCTGGCTCCTCATGTGCAGTATGGCTGCTTCGTGGATCGCAGTTTCGAAACCTGCCTTATGAACTTATGATGATGTAACCAGCCTTGCAGCAGACATGAAGAAAAGCAGAGACGGAGAGGAGAGCATCACTGCCTGCTGATGTTGAGCCGAGGAATGGGATCCGTTTGACAAGCTCTCTGCCATACAGCTTTGCAAAGAGAAGCGGTCCTTGCTGAAGAGCCCTACGTCCTTCAGCAGTTCTGCTGAACTGAAGATGGCTAGCTCCATGAGTTCCATGTGAAAGCTTTTGATACAAGACCTTCTTGCCTTTCACCGATCTGCCTCTGCAGGCCTCGACATTGTGCCACGCTTGCTTTTTGGACGAAGTGACTACGTGGATGTTCTCGTCGAGTCTGGGGTCGCCAGGCAGGTGTCCTTTCCTGTGCTTTGTTTGTGGCACCGAGAAGCAATGTGAGTGGAAGGTACTTGGAGTTCCAGGGCTTGAAGTCTGCCAGAGTCCTGACACCCGAAGGTCTTTTTGCAGTGCCGTTAACCAAGAGTGAAATATTCCAGGATGCTCACTTGAGCAAGGCCGAAAAGAGGACGCTGATGCGATTCATCACTTCCATCCAGCCCTTCGTGGGTAGCCTTTCCTTTCAATCTGCAGCTCAGCTGGGCGTGGATCAGGTCCGCAAGGTAAAGGGCCCAACTGAACTGGACTCCAGCGTTCTGGGAGTTGACCTGCAAGAGCCGTGGCAACGCTTCCTGGAGAAGCAACAGCTCTCTCAGAGATTGCAGGAGTTCATCACCTATTCCATCTGCCTCTGGGACTGGTCACCACCAGGGTCCTCGTCGAAGTCGACGTCGTATCCATGGCCCGAGCTCTCTTGCGGTGAAGCACTTCGACGGCTCGGAAGCTTCGTTTCTTCCCTTGGTATGTACGGCCGTGGCACCAGTATGCCACTGCTCTATCCCATGTATGGGGTGGCGGAGATTGCACAAGGCTTCACCAGAATGAGCGCACTTCATCGAGGAACCTATGCCTTGCGCACGAGGCCTACACACCTCCTGGCCAAGAAAGATGAACAACACGGCTGGCAAATGACAGGAGTGGTCACCCATCGCGGTGAAGTAATACGCGCTTCTACGGTAATTGGTTCCTGTGACCACATCACACAAGACGGGGCCTTCGAGCAGGGGTCGGACTCGACAGCCTGCAGACGTACAACCGTGTTGCTGGATCGTCCACTCCTGGGAGAGGACGGCGTAAACCTATGCGTAGTGCCGCCGAGCTCGTTTGCACCGCCCTTGCAGAACGTTGTTCAGGTATTGCAACTTGATTGGAGCACAGGTACTTGCCCCCGAGGCTGTTACGTGCACCACCTCTCGCAAGCATGGATTGGGGGAGATCCTGACGGTGCATTTGTCGACATAGACAGAGTCCTTCAGACTCTTTTGGCACGATGTGAGGAAGCTACGTGCCTGTTCCGTTGCAGGTACATTCACAAACCAAGGCCCATCCAGCGATGGGGCACCGAGGATTCACCGATGAGGGACTGTAGTGCTGCCGGCAGCCTCGCAGTGGTAGCAGATCCCTCCGCGGTGCCGCAGCTAGTTGTGTCAGATGAAGTAGACGAAGCACGTCAGATGTTCCTTGCATCCCCAGCTGCTGCTGGCGCACATGCTGATGATTTCTTGCGAAAGCCCGAGCATGTTGCAGAGGAGCATGTGCATATCTTTCGTTAAACATGGAGATGGAACTCCTGACGAATCGCATAAGGCTTTCGGTTTGAGAGCCTCGCGAGTGTTGTTTGTTTGCTCTGAGCTTCCCAGGAGGAGCGCGGTGGGGTCATGGAAGAGTTGGAGCTTTTCAACGAGCAGATGCAAGAAACCAAGCAAGCTGAGACTGGGAAGCTGTCTGCTGGCGAGCCTCAGCGACTTGTTCGAGATTTTGAATCTTGCTGCATTTGCAGCCGATTCTTAGCTCCCAGGCTTTCGGTGCTTTGGTTTTCGAGCTTGCGGACAGTGCATGCAGTTACAATTCACCGAACTTCGGATATCGGTTTTATAATGAGGAGGTTGTGATCAACGTAGGCAGCTACAGATCGTCCGCGTCATATTCGCGTAGTGTAAGTGCGTCGCCTTCCTGCTAGAAGCTTGGTTCGTGCCTGCGAATGTCAAGAGCGAAGCTGCTACGGAAGGCCATGATCTGAACAAGCACATCCTCTGGTCTCAACGTCATGACGGTCTGGAGCAGAACATCGGCAGGCGGAGGCGCAATGATTCCCCAGACGTACATCGCAAACGGCCCAAGACCTACAAATCGATTCGTGGACAGCCCTAGTACAGAAGAGGTCGATGTGGCTCAGCACGTGCCTCCTGTGAGAAAAGCGTGTTGAATTTTTGAGCAAATGCAGCACCATGTTTGGTGCTTTTTGGAGATCTACCTAGAATCTATCTGTTCATTACATTGTAGTCGCAGCCGCACCTGTTGGCTTCATGGGCCAGGCGTATAGTGGTGTTTGCAGATAGAAGATTGTAGCTGATGCAGACTGGACTTGGTTTCCGAACCTGCGAAGATGGCACTACGCATTCTGCACGAATCTGCCTAAGGATATGGGATGTGGTTGTGGGATGGCGGTTTCCCTTAGCCCTCACCTGTCCAGATGTTGCATTCCTTGGACAATACGATAACCACGTCGTGTTTTTATTTCTCGAGGATGTTCTTGCCAGCTTGTTCGGTCGGCATGGAGCCCGGGACTGCGCCTGCGCCGCTTGCGCCGGCCCCCCGGCTGCTGCCCTGTTGGAATCCCAGACGAGGCCAGGGAATTCCCAAAGTCCCAGGCTGGACATGCAGAGAGGGGAGAAGGAAGCAAGAGAGAGAACATAGGCTTCGACTTCGCCCTGAACCCGGGGTCCGCACTTGCGCACGAGGACGGGGAACCCTCCTCTGAACCTGTAGAAGGAAAACAGAGAGGCACTCCGTGGCGGGGGGTATGCCCTCCTGACACGGTGAAAGATGCTCCGTGGCATCCACAACAACTGGACCCAAGCACCTCAAGAAAAACAGAAACAGACGGCGCTCAGTTGAAAGACGGACGTTCAGTCGCCTCTCGCAAGGTGTCGCTCTGCCCGGCACCGAAGAAAAAGACTACTGCCCTCAAGCACGAAGTGAGCAAGAAGCGAGAGACATGAGCCAAACTCCAAAGAAGCCCTCGCCAGTTCGCGGCCTCAACGTCCGACAGCTCCCAGCTACAAGGGCGAGTCGGCGGGGAACAAGCTGGGGGCAGGGCGCAAGGATGGGTGGTTTGAGTTTAAGGTGGTTTGTGCAAGTGAGGATCCTGAGCTTAACACAGTTCTTGTAAGGGCGGCTGCTCGCAGGACCCGGTTGCTTGCAGCCACTGCGCTGGCACTGCGCCTGCTAGTCGGGTTATGCCTTGCTCCGGAAGACATCGCGATAAAGCTTGATAGTACCTTGTCTTCATTGGTGGCAGCACGCCTTTTCGTTTATGATTCATGTATTGCTGCCAGCCCCCTCCATGCTCAGGCAGATCAATCTCCGACATACTGCTGGGTCGTTTCGTGACAATGCGAGTGAACCTCAAACGTGCCGGCAGATGGCTGCACATGCAACAGGCCGAGGTAGAGTGCAAGCTGGTCGCTCAGCTGCGCTTCGAGACTTTCCAGACCGACGTTTGCCGGGTACCGGGGCATACTAGGTACTAGCACCAGTACCGAGTGGCACCAAACGCACGAGGGTTTTCTTTCAGGTGAACCTGGGCTTGAATCCCATATTTTGGCTACTGATGCCGTTGACACTGGTTCTTCGACCAAAACTGGCGCTAATTGGTCTCATTTTGGTGTACATACTTCCACGTGGAGCACAGCGGGACAGTTCTGCGACCCGCTTCACTGCCAGCCTGTCTGCAGAAGATCTGTGGAGTTGTTTCTTGGCGGCTCATGGCTCGTGTGGCGAGCTTGCATGTTGACAGCAACTACCCGCCCAGCCTGATGACAAAACTCCACACGGTCAGGCCGTTTGTGGCGAGCTGTGGTCACGGCCGGGCTGCGAGACATCATGAACTACAGCGTTGCAGGCCATCCAGGAGGTTCTGCTTGCTGCTTCTGACAATGTCAATTCCGAGGAATGGTGGCGCTGCCTCGAGAAGTTTCGGGAGAGCTTTCCGCAGCCACATCTTTCGAAGTGAAAAGCCTCGAGGCCATCTCTTGAAACATTCAAGGTACGCCTGATTGCTTCTGCGTTCGCTCGAACGCAGGTCTCAAATTCTTGCCTCATCATGGACGCAGTTGCTAACCTTCCCGGCGAGACGGTGTTCCAATATCGGTTGAAGATGCCTGTCTCAAGTCTCAAGAGTCTCTGCCGGTGGGTTTCTTTGCAGATGGATTGGCCCTCTACCCGGCAACAAAAGCGATGCCGAGCAGCCTTCAAGTCAAAACTTTCGCTGAGGACGGGTGTATCCCTTGGAGAGGTCGAGGGGTGTCAATGCATCCTTTGGGACGACCCCTGCATCGAGGCCGGCAACCCATCCCCCCTCTCCCCTTTTTCTTGCCGCGAGAAGGGCGACTCTGCGCAGACTCAGGATGAGACTGCCCACAGAAGAGCGCAGCTTCGAGAAGCGAGGTCTTGTCTTGGTAGTTTGAATAGGTTGACCGCGAGGGGTCCAGATTCATCATTATTGAACATGGTATTCTTGCTCATCACACCAGGTTCCATGTTTTTACCATATTTTCTAAATTACGATGATGAAAATGCATATGATGGTGATTTTTGTCACTGTTATTACTATTGATGGCCATGATTATGTTCATCATCATCTTGTTCATCACAATCGTCATGGTCATCATCATTATCATCGTCATCGTCATCATCAGCATCGTCATCACCCTGGTCCTCCTAATCATCATCACGAAGGGCGAGGGAAGAAGGAAAGAACAAGCATGCCAGAGTAGTTTTTCAAGCAAGGAAGAAGCTCTCTGACGACCATGATGAGGACCGCGACCATGACGACCATGACCACCATGACCACCATGACCACGAGGACCACGAGGACCACCAGGACCACCAGGACCACCAGGACCACCACAAGCAGGGGTGCACGGCCACAAGGCTTCAAGTAAGTACTCGCGCGATTCACACCTGCGACCCAAAATGCCTTCGAGATTCAGGAGGTTTCGGGAGTACGGCCAGAACAAGTAGCACTGCGCCCATGCTTCCACCCATAAACCCGGCGGCACGGGCAAAATGCCCTCTCCCAAGTATATTGCCCCGCGATGCAAAATTTTCGAGACCAAAACGTGGCCCATGTCTTATAATTTTCGATGAACCTGGTTCGCGATTACAAGGAGCCTATTTAAACAATGGGACGCGGGTGCAAACTTTGCACAGTGCCATACCAGAAGCCGCGCCCAGTTAAACGTTGTCTGCAGCGCTGCGCCGACATGTTAACCAAACCTCTACTCTAATCTCAACTCTAACTGCGTTTTGTCCTTCCCCCAGCTCTACACCATGCACCCAGGCCAGCATGGAAAAAAATGGAACAAAGAGCCACGATGGACAGAAAACGATTCCACAAATGCTCAAAACCCCAGCTTCGGCGTAACGAGAACAATTCGTCACAATCTGACCTGTACCATGCAAGCTGCGCATGCACCCTTGTCTGTCGGTCTCTCTTGACACTCGTGCAAATGGCTCAGAGACAAACAGACACACAGACACACACCCACACCCCGCCCACAGACCTACACACCCGCACACCCACACACCCACACACTCACACATCCGCACACCCACCCACACTTTCACACCTCCACACTCCCCTCCACCACACCTCTGCACACACAGACACACACACACACACGCACGCACATGCGCGCATGCTCACTCGCACGCACGCAAGCAACACTACAGAAACGACAGAGACGCGTACACGTAGATGCGGGTTGCCAGGTTGTGTGAACACCTTGGCTATTTTTGTGTTAAGCAAACCGTGAAGGTGACGCCCGGCTGGCCCTTGCCGCAGTTCTGGGCACCAATAGGAAGCTTCGCCGGCCTTGGATTGACCGACAAGCTGAGATTCTCACGCCTCGAATTTCTGTCAGTTGGTTCCTCAGTTCTGGCTTGGTGTGGCCACAAAAATCTTGCTTGAGCTCGTGTACTAGTCATCGCTACTTTGAGAGTGTCACACTTTGAGGATGGACGTCTGGTGCTGGAAGGGCGAGTTGCCGGAGAAGGCCCTTTCAAGCTTCAAACCTTGCCAAGAGCAAGCGATTTCAGTTTGAATGTGTGTACAAGCCGCTTTGCGGAAGGAGACCGCCAGGCCATCATCCCTATTTAGTACCACAGGGATGTTCGAGCCTCACGGTGCTTCGTGATTGGCGCCGCGTCGAAAAGAACATTTCCAGTCGCGAGCGTTGCAAGCGTTCTGAATCTGGTCTTTGCCGGAGCATTTGACACAGACTGGCTGAACAGCATAATAGGTCAGCTGCACCGTGAGTCACGTCCGCACATGGTGCTGTGACATGCTCAAGTTGAAAATAAATTCATTCCATTGTGCTGCCCAGAGTCAGGGCAGTGATGCTCGAAGCTGAGCATGGGAGTCTTCAGACTGAAGCCGTGATCCCTGGAGCTGTGAAGTTTGCAGAAGTTTGCACGAGGCATGAACTCGGCAGCGCATGGAGCGGCCGGAGGTGCACTGCATTGCCACCATTGGGGCAAACATAAACGGCTGAGAGCCACCGGACGCATCAGGTCGAGGCAGTGTCTTCCAGCGCGATATCCTTCGTGAGCCAGGCCTTAGAAAGCCGCCCAAGAGCCGGCTGGCAGAACCCAGAATGAAAGCACAGCACATGAGGTCTAGTCCACCTTGGCAGGCGAAGTTGGCATTCGAGTACTCCTTGAAGAATCTGCTGTGGAAGCAAGCAGTGCCAGACCTGGCGCAGACTACTTCATCATGAAGAGCATAGATATACTTATGCATGTTTGATGTACGCACAGCATTGTGTGGACAAAGTGAGGAGATAGCTTTCTTGGCCTTCTGGCTTCCAGGCATTCTATGCTGAGAGGCTCGTGGCCGAGCGCCCTTGTGACGAAACGCTTTTGCCTGAGCTCTTGCAGCCCGCTGTGGGCATGTGCAATTGCGAATTTCTCGGCCAAGCCGGCTGCGTTCTCCAAGGACGTACCTGCTGGGATTGGCGTACTTCCACAATCAGGAGCTTCCTTGTTTCCATCTTTATTGATGGACTAAGGCTTGCTTGTTGCGCGGTTCCGGGTGTCCTGGAACACAGCCAGGTTGCACGGCCGCTCAGCACGGCAAAAGTCAGCTAGATTGCAGGTTCGACGAAGGTACCGATGTTAGGCATCACGTGGCCTGAAGTTCAATCATGTTGGTCTGCAGGAGCAGCCCCAACAAGAGAGCCCTGTATTCATCCAATGTAGCAATGGCCCTCTTGAGAAAATGTGAGCCGCTATGGTTGGAGTAGGTGTGGGGCTGGAGTTCGAAATCCTGACAGGCCTGGCAACACTCGATAATCAGTTGATAAGCGGCATCTTGCCTTTCTTGGGAGCTTCAATGTGGGGCATAATGTGGGGCAGCAACGTCACACTTCCTGCAGCCTTCCTGTACTACTTGTTACTGAGATGGGCATAAAGACCCAGACAGTTCCTTGTGCCCATGCCTGTCTCCACGTCAATTGCTACCTTCTGGGATGGTCATTGGATTTGCTTGCATAAGCGAGTCAGCAGTCGGACCTGCTTTCAGGCACAAGCAGGTTTGTAATTTTTAGTCGAGCAGCAGCAACAGTAGCAACAACAAACACCAGTTATTTCGAGCATCGCGTACACTTCAGACTCGCTCAGCAGCTACATTGTGAGATGCAAGTTGATAACTAAAGTTGATGCATGTCCGGACCTGTCAGGAGCTAGCCAGGGCGCAGTGGCATCTGCAGGCGGTGGAAGCTTTCTGCGATGCCCGTCGTTGCAAGAATCTGCCAGGGAAACAAGCTTCCCGAAGCGAGGCCTCTCGATGTCCTCTAGTCACACCATCTTGTGATCACGTGGCTTAAATTCAGGTACCTGCTTGCAAAATGCTGCTCGCAACTGAAGCGCTCGATTCTGATCTGATGCCCACAGAGACCTGGCTCTCTTCGCTGCCCTTCGCCGTGCTTTCAGGTTGGGACCTAGCCGAGGATGCACTGCTGCCTTCCAGCGCGGGAGGCAGCAGAAGGGCCGGACATCTCTGGGCACCTCTACTGTACTCCCTCCTCATCTCTCCTCCTTCCCAGAGACGCCTGCCGTGGACGGAGGCAATCTGAACGAGGTGGTCAATGGCGCTGCAGGCCTCTTCCTCCTTGGTCAGGCACTCTGCAGCTCCCTGTGCCCAAAGCGAGAAGCCCAAATCAATCAAGATGACCCGAAGACAGAGCATCTTTTTGGAGGTCCAGGAGAGACAAGGCCGACGAGAACAAGCAGTCGAGTGCTACTTCAGGTGTTTGCAGGAGTGCCCCTTCATGCATGCTCGGCCTGTTTGCCGTGAAAGGGCCGTTGCTCGAGATGTTGGGCATCCATGTTCCATGCCTTGCCGCATGTCAGGTGGGAGGCCTACGAACGTTGGTCTTGGCTCGTGCCGGAAGCTGAATCATGGCGAGACTTTTTGCTGTGTGCCTGACTCCCTGACATTCCAGATTGCTGACAGGTTGGGATCACCCTCTCCCTCGCTGGAAGCTCTGTGGTACCTGGTAGCTGCATGTGCTGTTCCAGTGCTCTTCCCTGTCACCATCGTTCCGGAAAGTGGGACAGCAGCATGCTGAAGGCGCTCGTCAACTGCTGGAGTCGCATCTTCGACCTTCAGGCCGGATGGAGAACATGTAGACTCTCGCCACATGTCATGTGACCGTGCGGCTGAGTGTGCATCGGGGCCAAGACTTCTGCCTGTCAGTGACGAGAAGCTTGCGCAGACAGCTGCTGCAGTGGGCTCCAGCAGGGAGGCACCCAAACCAGGGAGACATGTGGAGGTGCTTGCATCAATCGCAGTGTATACGCACCTGCTGTGCCAGGCAGGCGTGAGTGTGTCCCCCGCACCTTTGCGAACTGCAGGCATGTGCTCATGTGATGAGGGCCTTTTGAAGACTCACGAAGCATTCAGGAGGGATGTGTTTTCGCTGTGTCACGATTCAACTACGGGTGTGGCGAAGGGGCCCTGCAGCAGCGCCGTTGACGCCCGCAATCACCTTCCAAACCAAACATGTCCTGGGGAATCTTTCAGTCGTGTGCAAGGACATGGCATTGAGCGCACGTGGCATCCTCAGGGGTGTGAAAGTCTTTGTCGGGCTTCAGCTGTCGAGTCAACTTGAGCGTCCAGGGATGGTGGCCGAGGGTAGCATGTGCACTTGACTTCTCTGACATGTGCGACCGCGGCTCCGCAACACTTTCGGTTCCTAGAGGGCTGCCAGCCCGCAGCCTGAGTGTTTCACAAACATGACGTGACGGAATGAGCTCCGTTTCACCTTCAGCCGATCCAGAGTTGCCCTTGCCGCCTGACGAGCAAGATGCAGACTGCGAAGCCTGCACAAACACAGACGGATCGATGGGTCCAGGTGTCCGGGCAGAACTTTAAGGCCCCAGCATGCCCCAGTGCATGCGATGGCATTCGGGCAGGAGGGCATGTGTCCGAGGCTGCGGCGATGCATCTGCACTTCCTCTTCCGACACGGAGGATAGCCAAAAGCCACAAGTTCCTGGACCCAGCACAGATGTTTGCACTTGCAAAGATGTCTGCATCAAGTGCCGAACAGTTCGTCCTAGCAGTCTGCATTGCTTGTTTGGATGTGCTGAAGCGGTGTGAGGTTTGTTCCGCTGAGCCGTCCAGTTGGTATGGTGGATTTGGGGAGGGATCCTTTGTCTTACACGAACTGCGGGAGCTGCGCATGCAGCAGCTTGTGTAGAGGCGATGGCTACCATGCGCCCCGGCAACACAGCAAGTGCACGTGGCATGCAGATTGGCCCCTGGCAGTGCCGAGGATTTCACGCATACTCTCAGTACTGACATGGGCTCAGTGATGCCGACGAGCTCAGACCAGGAAGCCGGTACTGTACACGTTTCGCATGTAACCCTGAGATTTAAGCAGCAGACTGCACCTTACTTCTGAGACATCCCAGCTTATTGAAAGCAGCGGTCCAGCCTGAGAGGAACAGGACGCGTGGGCATCCCAAGAGTTCATCGAATCCCGGAATCTTGTGTCGGCAGTCGGCGAAAGTGTCAGGCCTTGCACTTCAGATAGTGTCGGATGCAGAGCTCTTGCGATCATGCGGTTCTGAGCCCTTCGCGGCAAGAATTGAGTTGTAATTTCAATACTGGGTCTGTTCCTGTGCGACTTCTTCAGCTGAACATTCCAGTCATCCTGCAAGCTTGCAGTGAGCTGCATACCCCTTCTTTCATTACGTGACCTGGCTCTCCAGGCAGTCGCGCAAGTCCATCAGTTTCCACCAAGAACACATAGCAAACCTCGCAGGCTGGAGAAGAACTTCTTGCCACGTGTTGCTGTGTTGGTTGCAGCTGTTGCAAGTATTGCTGCAGCCTGGGCCAGGTGATGAAGAGGAGTTTGCGGGCCATGTCCTGCGTGCCTCCAAAGGAGGAGCAGACGTGGTGTCCGAGCTGTGCAGTGGAATCGAAGAGGCAATGCGACCGACTCAGATGAGATACCCAGCAAGGCGCAGACAGCCAGGCCAGGCTGAGTTCCTTCTCTTCCGAGGTCCGACATAGAAGACTACCGATCCCAGCTTGCAACTATCTGCGTCAACGTGCGAAGTGCTGAGCACATTCGCCCGAGCGTCGTCCGAGAGAGCTGGGCTGAGCTCCCCGATGAGACTGCAGCAGAAGGCGACTCCGTGAGCCCTTGTCAGCTGCACGTTCTTCCGATTTTGTGCTGGGCACTTTGCTCTTCTGCCTTGTTTGGCTCGTTTCCTTTGCAGGTGCTGCGGCGAGCAGCCACCAGGCCCTAGCCGGATTGGGTTGGGTCTCTAAGTCGCTAAGTCGATCAGCAGACGTGACCGACTGGAACACAACAGTATGCACTTCCTTGGTAGGTGCTGCCGGATCTGCCGGCACAGAAAAGCGTGACGTTCCCATTACCTGACGATGATGATGAGGTTCAGGTCCAGCCGTTGTTTTCGAAATGGCCCGTCCCATGCAATGTAGGAAAGCTGTCAGGGTGTGTGAAATGATTCAAACGAAGGCCACCTCACAGGCAACTGACAGAACGGGCATCAACGCCCAGGCCAGAAGTAGCCGTCTCTGCGCACAGCGATCGTTGCTTGTTTGCTAGGTGCTGAGCGAGCGGCCGACCCTTACAGGCATGGTGGTGGGTTGATGCTCCACTGCTCTCCTGCTCCCTTGCGATTGCAGGCAGCGGAGATCTCCCGACCGAGCTGCAAACAAAACGGCACAGCAGCACGTTCGCTCCTGCAAGTCGCATGGCCGCACAGAGCAGCTTTGATTTGAAACTTTGTGCGTTGCATCAAGGCTTTTGCATCGGCTGACCTCTCATAACCTTGCCGCTAAGCCCAGGCTATCACCGGATAAAGCATCTGACGGGGGCTCAGCTCCACAAGAACGCACACACACATACATACACTTACAGACAGACCGGAACAGGGGGGCCTGGATTCCTCGAGGGTCCGTTTCGGAGTGCCGGGGGCTGAGGATCCGGTCGGGCTCCAGGATCTCGGACCTGGGACGTGCCACTGCCAAAGGCCATCTAAGATCTTGTAAGCCTGTAAGCCTGTCCGCCAAGAGAATGCGGTAGCACAAAAGTTTGCAAGGAGGCAAAACAATGCTTAGGCTCAAATGATGTAGGTGCTCTGGCAGTTACTGTGCTTTGCCATGGCAGGTCCTTTTAAATGGTCGGTTTTCTTTACGCGGATTGTCCAGTCGCCCACGTTTGACTTGATCTTCGTTTGCGGCTGAGCAACGAGCAACGCATTCCTGTATCAGCTTTTCGGTGGGCAGCCATGGCAACTGTCGAATTGTTGGCAAGGCAGTTCTCATCGTGCTCAGCAGCATTGATCGCGCCTCAAGAAGTATACGGTTTCGCTGATGGTGATTGCCAACCGGTCAGAAAAAAAGCCGGGTCTTGGGATTCTCGCTCAGGTTATGTCTCTGCAGGTGCAGTTTCATGGCTTCGATGTTGGCGGCGTGGCTTGATAGAGACGCACGGAGAGAGCGATTGTGAGAATTGCGAGACTATGTGTGAGACCTAGCTTTTTTTAGCGTTTGGGGGGGAGGCTACGGGATGGCTTACTTTGGCATGACGGTGCCTGCCGACGAGCTCTGGCCGGATGCCGTGGTGGTCTTCGACGTCATCGAGCTGGTCCTTGGAGTCATCTTCGCTTTCGATCCTGAACCGCACTTCAAAAAGGGTGCCCGCTCCCGCTCCGAGGTCCCAGGCCACTAAGACCTCAGTAAGCCCGCAGCCCGAGGAAATCGTAGCGAGAATGCTGGCTCTTCACTGCCGATTCTTCTGTGACGCGTGGAACATAGTTGATCTGCGTGGAACTCAGAAATCGACGGACGATGCTTTCCAGCGTCTTCCTGTCATTGAGTGTGCAGCGGAATCTCCCGTGAGAAGTCGCTAGCACTGTTCTTCCAAGGTGTGTTGTGATAGCCTGGGCGGCGACTGGGCTGCATGGAACCTCCGTGACATGCGCAGTAGCGAATGGCGCTCACGGGATTTCCTACCACCGAATTCGCGGAAACTCGGGTCAACGGCCAGCAGGTAGATACGGCAACGTCTGCGACGTTGCCGGTCGACCCTATGCTTCTGCGATTGGCACGACTGGTGAAGTTATTCCGCTTGGTGCGTCTAATCAGGCCGGTTCTGTCAACTGTCGAACATTTTTCTTTGGTCCTCGAGCTTTCTGCGCAGGAAGGTGAAAGGCTTCGATTCGCTCTACATCATGGTCAGGGGCTTAGGTTGCCTTGAGATGAAATTGACGAGGTCCACAAAGCCATTGCCTCAGGTCACCTCCATCAAAGCGAGCTTCTCCGCACTCCTTTGGTCTACTGTCCTTCTCTTTGCAGTGCTCACGAGCCCTCTCTGAGAGTGCATGTTGTTTGGTGCAATACCGCAGCTCCAGCTCTCTGATCGAAATGCATCCGCAAATTTTGACTCAGGACAATTGCTCTGGTTCTGACAACCCTCGTGGAAGTGTACATTAACGACGAGAACAATCCCATCGAAAGGAGGATGGAGGTCTTCGCGTACTATGGCACCTTCACCCGTTGTTCTCTGCTGCTTGGCGGCATGGGAGCGCCTGCATTCGGCCCATGTCGCTTCAGTGGACCGGAGGAGTCCTAAGCTTGGCAAGCCTCGATATTGAGATTAACTAGCACATCAACGCCCAACTTTTACCGTGCTTGCCGCCATCGGTGAGCCCAGCGCATCGCAAACAACGTAGGTAGTGCCTTCGTTGTGACCAAGGACGCTTCTTGAGCTGACCTTGGCCAACTGGGTCCCGGCCTCCCGCATACTGACGGTCGCTTGCTGTGGAACAGGAATTCTATTCAGGGTCTCTCTGTTCTTCGATTATAAATCCCGTGCAGGGCAGATGCCATCAGATGCCCACAAGAGTCATGCTATTGATTGACAGGCCTCCTAAAGCAGTTATGTGTCAGCCTTTGGTAGTCTGGCGCCTGGCAGGAAATGTAAGTGATAATCAGCAGAAGCCTCGGACTGCACTTGCAAGCACACGTTTGCCTCGGCACTCAAGGAATATGTCAGTGAGTACTACACCATCTTTGTGCTGGCATTTCAAGCATCCATGGGTTTTTCAGTGGTGAAGGCACCTCGGCTTTTGTCTCGTCGCCGGTGAAATTCTTCATGTGGCTAGCAATTACTTCATGTTCCCCGTGCCTCTTGCTCTCGGCGTCCCTCTCTCCATGTTTTTGAGAATCTCCTTCTCGATCAAGGTCATCATGGGCGTTTTCCTGCAGAACACGTTTGCAGTAGCTGCCAACGATGATGTGTGCTCCAGCAGCACTCAGCATGATGAGTTCAGCATGCTGAGCTCGAACGCTTCACCGGAGACATGGCGCTGGCAAGGATCATGATGAACGCCAAAGACAGAGCCCTTCAGACTCACAAACAAAAGATGAAACTTGGCTACCATGGTTCAGCATTAGTGTAAGGGGACCGGGACCGAGTACTGTTCGGCAAAGATGTCCCAGTGTCAGGGCCGTGCTTTTCGAAGCAGCAGACGACAATGGCGACGGTCGCTTAGACCGTCAGGAGTTTCAAGACATACTGGAAGATCCAATTGTTCCCTGGCCTGGAGTTTGCTTGTCTTGGGCACGACAACAAGTTGTGAAGGATCTGTGTTGCCTAAGAGTATCTTCCGCCGCTGCCGGCGCACCGATTTTGGGATATGATGCTTCTTCAGTGTCATCCGGGAAGGGCTTGAGGATCGCACTCGTTTCGCCGGCAATTCGCAGGATTACGGCCGGCCGGATCCAAGGAGGCAAGGAAACAGGGAAAGGAGGAAAGATGCTCGAAGCTCAGGAAACGAGAAGGCTGGATGGAAGATGCTGGAAGGTCACCAAAGACGATACCAAGGAAGGCAACAAAAACCACCGGATCCGGACACGCAGCAGAGAAACACGAACTGCCGAAGTGAGTGGGGCGTCGCAAGGCTCGTAGGAGAAGCAGAACATTAAACCGAGCAGGACTTGGAGAGTACAAGCCGAAGAAGGAGTTAGACAGATGCGGGACGGAAAACAAAATAAGACGCCACGGGAGTGCAGTTGATACGTGTTTGGCGGTCGTTTCGCCGTCATTCCAAGAACTAAAGGTCAAAACAGCAACTTCAAACAACACGAACAGCTAAAATCCAACAAACCAAGTCTATTCCACCAACCGGCAAAACACATACGCGCGCTGGAACACCTAGAGTTTCGGAGAATGGGTTGTGTAGGTGTTCGAGGGTTGTTTGGAGCTTGAGGGTTTTAGGCCGTTTCATTTCGATTCGACACGACCGTAAAATAGTGCTAATTGCACTCCTAGAGCAAACCCCCCGCTGATGGAGTGCAGGTATTCTAAACATCATGCGTTGAGGAGGTGTGCTGTTGTGTTCAGCAAGCCGCTCCTTTTGGTGAAGTAGGTACTGAACAGCTCAATGTGCAATGTTAGAAAGGAAGTTTCGTAGCCGGTTTCACTTTTCAAGTCCTACATGTAAGGATGTAAGGTTTACGTTTTTGAATACCGTTTAATTGGTTAATCCTTCAACATTCAGCAAACGATGTTTAGGAGTCTCCTTTCGCCCAAAAGGCTAAGCGGATGCAGCCCTGGAATCAGGTATCTAGCTCTACACATGGAGCGAGTAATCCAAAGGAGCATAGCTGTAGTGGCAGCGACGTATTGTCAAAGCAGGCAAGCAGGCTTCTCGTGTTTGTAATTTTACTATTCTGCAAGTAGGCTTAGCCTTCAACCTCAAACTAGCTACGTGTACCAAGCAAGTCTTGTCCCAAGCATGAGACGAAGCTTGGCAAGGATAAACTTAAAGGACTAGACGTAAACAAAACACTCTTATGCATGGGGTTTCTGCAACGAAACTTTCTGAACAAATCATAGTCCGTAGCAGCCTAAAACTAAGCATGAAATGAGGCAAGCTTAGCATAAACCGGATATGTAGCCCTGAACAAGTTAACAAGGATTGTGAAGTGGGCGGTTTAGCGACGACTCCGCTCTAAAAGCACATACCGTGCAGAAATAAGGTGCAGTAGCTTGAAGTATTCAACGAGAGAGGCTTGGAAACCAGGTTTAGCCTTTGAGCATGGTGCGAGTCACGTTTCAGATGTTAGACCCTGTGCGAACACAGTGAACTTCATGGCTGGAGTGGTTTTAGCAAGAGATTTCCGGTTTGCGTATCAATCAAATGTAAAAGGCACACAGAAGGAGACACACCGCAGGCCTCAATGAACACTTTCCGATTGTCATGGTACTGGCATGGCTCGGGTATGGGCCAGTATTGGGTTTTGGAAGCCGATCATTCCTAGGGTGGAAGCTTGCCACCCACCTCTGACGCAGCCATCTGTTTCGCCAATCCCTGTTGAGGTTCAGGTTTGGGGTCTCAAAAACCAGTCATCCCTTGCATCCCTTGTAGAGTTTGAGATTTGCCAGCCATCGGTCTCAAGTCCAACATCTCTGGTTCGGGTTTTACCACCCAACATGCGCCAATTATTGGGTTTCGATCCTGGGCAATGGGTCACCTCTCGCTTCAGAAGAGACAAGATCGACAGACCCGTGCGAAGATCTCGGAATAGCCCGAAATGCATGCCACCAATGCGTTCAGAACATTTAGCAACAAGAAGGCCGGTCGGCTAGTGTTCAACACGGAAATTAAGAAGCAGCCCGAGCCATTAATCCCATGCCACTGCCAACACCGTCTAGGCATACGCGTCGCCGTAATGCTTCGTAGGCGAACCCGTTTTGTTTGAATTCAGGGTCTCGCTGCGCCCTGCAAGACACAAGCTTATCAGTATGGTCTCAAAACTTGAACACAAGTAGGAATATAGACACAGAGCCCAAGCCTCGAACCCCGCTCGCCAGCATCTCAGCTTCGTGCCCCATAGCTAGAGAAACCTTTGGTAATTCCTATGGGCCGGCGTGTAATGAGGCAAGCTTAAAGGCTGCTTTTTCCTACTGGCCACGAACTCCAGTGGCATGCCGTTGCTGATGGTGATGCTGGATCCAGGACGGCCCGAGGTCGGTTTTCGGTCTCTGTCTATGTCTGCTGGTTGGGAGAGGTGCAGGCCTCATTGTGGATTGCTGTGCGGCTGCTACCGGTCTTGCTGTCTCCTGCTGGGGTAAACTACGCCTCTGAGCCAGGCGTGTACCAACAAAGCAGGTCGGGTTTTCGGAGATCGGATGTCCTTTCTCGCAACACCCGATCCACTTGGTGCTCAATTCTCCCAGACCGAAGCACGCTTCTCCAGGTGCTCGCCAGCACCCCTCCCGTCACCGGACACCGCCAGCCCAACGAAGTCCACCCACTGGACCTGTCTCTTCCAGTCAGTTAAACACACTGACACACTGCATGGGGCAGACGTGAACATAAGTTGATGTTCAAAAAGCGGTAAGAATCCTCAAGAACTCAGCACGAACCCTTCCTTAGCGGGCCATGGTGTGCAGAGTGGCTAATACCTAAGCCCAAGGACTGTGTGTCTCAAGCACTATTTGAGACCCTGGGCGTTGTGTGCACCACTCTCCTACGGCTGCAGTTCTGCACAAGCCAAGACTGATCCCAGGTTGCCAGGTGGTTAAGCGCAATGGGCTTCGACACCTCTGTCATGGCAAGCGATGATCTTTAGCTGCACTGCGAAGGAAGCAGCGTGATTCGACTATGTCCGTAGTACTGTGCCCGAAGGACATATTCGATCTCCTTTGTGCCAATGATGCTGGCGATCTCAGCGCAGAGGTGCCGCGGGTGGCGATCGGCTTCGAACAACTGAGGGCCTGGTGATTGACAGCATCTGCAGACTCGGTAGGAGATGATCCACGGTGTCGAGAAGCTGAGCGGCCCGGCTTCTTCCTTGAACATGGCACGTCTCCTCTACGAGGGGGAGGCCGGGGCCCCGTTGGGGTCTCTCGGGTCTCTCTTCGGAATCGCTGCTGAGCAAAGATCCGAGCCCTGTCCAGTCGCTGCGCCATCGAGTGGAGCTTATGGCCGACGGCGTGAACCGGCAACTCGTGGGTCTGGGCTTGAAGGAGGCAAGTGACTCCGAAGACGGCAGTCGTGTTTTTTTAAAGTGCAATTGCTTGAGAAACCAGTTAGTGCGAACAAGCACGCTCATGGCGGACAAAGCCAAAAGCCCGTCCCTCCGGCCAGGTGACCCCGAGTCGCGTCTCAATGAGACGGATTTCGCGAGTCAGCTCCGATCGTTCGCAGAGCAGAGCGACCAGTGTTACCACATCAAGGAAGGTGGAGGGTAGACGGTGGATCACGATGATTACGGCCGGGCATGTTTGGCTCCGGTGGAGCCGAAGGGTCGCTTGAAACAACTGAAAATGTTGCTGGTTCGCTGCCGAAGCTAAGTACTCGCATACATTCTTGAACGGCTGAGACCTGGTCCCGGTCAGGACAACGAAAACTGTGTCGCAGAAGATCTTCGCACAACGAAAGCTTGCTTCTGGCTTAATTAGATCCATCGCATCACAACATGCAAGATGCTTGATCTTGAGTAACAGACTGCATGCCACCATGCATATGTCCCTTGGAAGACATGCCTGCTCCAAGGCCTCGTTTCAAGACGAAGCGCAGTGCCCTTGGATGACTTCAACCTGGTTAAGGGTTCAGATGCTGAGCACGTGCGTGGCTGCCTTCTGCAATGCGAAGGCAAAAGTTCTGGGAAGTTGCACAATACTCACTGCAGCACCTGACAGACGCTTGACTTATGTTCGACAGCGTGCCGGGCAAATTCTGCCTGTAGCACTACTTGGGATGCAGTCCTGGAGCGAGGTCCTTCATGAACAGAGAGATGTAAGTAGCACCGCAACAGATTGCTCGTTTGTCCCTCGAAACCGCAACTGGCCTACCGTCACATCTCAACGAAAGATTCGATTCAAGATTTATTCACACGCCGCTGTGTGCTCGCGCTGTCAGCACTCTGCTTACAACCTGAAGCTCGTTCTGAGCCCCAGAGCTGTCAACATCGGCGAACTCGAGCATCTGCGTGATCATTGAAGTGCAAGCTCCCTCAACGAGGAAAGTGCTTGAGCCCGATGCAGGGCAGCCACAAAACCACGGGAGCTCTGTGTGAAAGGCAGGTGCAACATGTTGAGTTTCTGGGGCTACGAGCTTTGCCACTTTCTTTGTCTGCAGCTCTCGCTCTCGGGGGATTGTGAATCTGGTGTGCTGCACTGCACCATGGAATGGAGTCAGCATGAACATGCAGGGGAAACTATGCACGCGCAGTGCGAGATGCCCATGCCGACTCTTCGCGAAATATCCAAGGAGAGCTTCCAGTTCCAGCTAGTGTTTGCCTGCCTGATCTGCGCCCTAACGGCGGTGATGGCCTTCCAAGCAGCTTGGTGAGGAGGATGTATAGACCCGACTTTCCGTGTTGTATGGGGTCCGAGGTTCAATACAGGGGACTTGAAGCCGGGCATCGACTGGGCTTTAGAGGCCAGCCTTGCTACTGGAGCATGCGTGTCTTGATTAGCCAGCCTTCACTTCGGACGTGTGTGCTTCAGGCCTGGAAAGCCCCGCAAAGGAAGTTTGGCCCCATGCAGAAACCGCGTTCGAGATCTTTGATGCATCTTGGACTGTGCTGTAGGTTTGACTTCAAGAAACCTTCTGGTTCTGCTCATGGCCCCTCCTTCCATTGTCCATTGCGCACAATCGGCCCAGATCTTTTTTGGAGTTGCATTCACCATCGAGCTGGTCCTGAAACTGTTTGGGAGCCCATGCAGCTTCTTCAAGGACCTGGATAATCCAGCCAGGCTCAAAGCCGCAGACTTTTCTCCTGGTTCCAGGATCCATGGAACCTTCTGGATGGGCTCGTGCTGGGCATCTGGTATTTGGAGAGGGTGACCTCGACAGCGTTCCCACTGGATCCGATGATCTTGCGCCTCTTCCGCCTTTCGCGCCTCATGCGCATGGTCAGGCAGCGGGCTCTGCCAGCTTTTACAAGAGGCTTGTAGTAGCAAGCTTGGCAGGCTAGTCAAGATCTTCGAGCAGTGTGACGCCTCTTGGTTTCATCGGCAAACCTGACGGCAGATAGGGCTTTGTCGGAACAGCCGTACACGACCGGTGGAATACTAGTTCACCATGCTTCAGCTCACCACGCACGCCAGCGATGCCGTTCCTCAGGCCTTGTACTTGATGCTGACCTCCATTCGTGCCTCATTTGCTGCGCTGGCCTGGTCAAGTGCCCTGCTGGTATTGATGCCCGACTCAACTGGACAGGGTCTTTTACTTCAGTCTTTTTTTGGCAGCAGGTCTTGGTTTGTGGAGATGCCGTCAGGCCGGTGGCCTGTAAGGCTAATCTCCGATTGGCACAACGACGTGATGTAACACGTCTAGACTTCAAAAGACAGCTAGAGAGATTGTCCGGCTTTCTGCGGTTATCATTCTGGGCGAGTTTAGTGTCAGTTTTCGCTGTGCTCACACGCCGAGGATCCAGATGATGCTTGCTCTAGCGATGGTGACCTTGGTGGAGCCATACCTGACTGACCCGAACAGCACTGGGGACAAGCACGATGTGTACAAATACTATGGGACCTTCACACGTGCCATGCTTACGTTGTTTGAAACTTGGCTGGAATTCTTGAGGGCGTGCTGAGTTCTTGCCATGATGCAGACGGGGCCTACCAGGAAATCACACTTGGCAATTTTGTCCCCGTGACCCGCCTCATGATGAGTGATGTATCTGAGATCTACGTGACTTGCCCGCATGTTGGAACGAATCTGAGAGTACTCGTGACATGTCATCCAAGATGTCCCTAGTCAGCACTTTTCAACACAAGTCGCAGCCAAAGAGAACGCTGCGCGACGCCGCCGACTGCGAACTGAATTTTCATGGCTGTGATGTTGGTTATATGGACTGTTCTGAAGGTTATCTTTGCACTGATTCACAAGCTCGTGATCGGCTTTGCAGTGGTCATGGCCATGAGCTCATTTCTGGGGTTCCTGGATCCTTGCACGGTCTCTTGCGGCAGTCGTTCACGACCAGCTGGCTTAGGTCATCACGGGTGTCTTTATTCAAGAGACTGTGACAGTGGCCCAAACAGACAACACGATTATGCTCACTCAGAAAGAGCGTGCTCTCAACTTGCACATGGCGAAAATGAGTCTTGGCATAAACCGATCAAAAGATTGGGCAAGAACATGCATCAGGGTGCTAACCTTGCCAGTTTAGCTGAAGTGATTGGATAAAGTTTGTCAGCATCCGGTAGCTCCAGTATACCCGCTGTGTAAAGGACCGCCCTGTTCAAAGCTGCCGACTTCGATGAGAGCGGACGGCTGGATCGAGGTGAGTGGCTGCAGGTGGCAGCAGATCAGTTTCATCTGCTTTGCATCATGGCTTCGTGTCAATGGTATGTGCTTGGAAGAACACGAAACAGCATTTGACTTAGTACCCACAGTCTCAGCAGTCAGCGCGTACAACATGCAGGTCTGTGATGACTACTCGGTACAGCTGTGGCTGGCCGCCATGGGTTTGGACGTGAGCAATGCGGCGACTCAGACGCAAAAAAAGTTACCTTGCATGATTGCCCCAGGCTTTGGCTAGCTTGCGGTTTGCATTATGAGCCCTCGCACAGACGTTTCCAACATGAAGTCCAATCCGGGCGAGCATCCGGGTTTGTTTGCCACTTTAGTCAACTTCCTTTCGCTTGGCATGAGTCATGGGGAGCCCCCAGCGGCAATCTCAGGCACTGGTTCATGAGCTGATATGTGCTGCAAATGGGCTGGAGGAGCTCAGAGTTCAGTCCGTGCAGTACAGGTCGGTCGCGACACCGTGGAACTCGGTTGCTCTGCCTGCTTGCAGGACCTTTGTGCCAAGGATCTGGTGATGGGTGTGGCGCGTCTCAAAGGCGCTGCCAGAAACATTGACATGGCGCTCTTTCGGAAGGAGATCGGTTTTCAGACGCTGTGCAACGCAGCATCCAGGGTCTGCGCAGCGCGACTTGCGAGGAATTCCTGCAGACCTCAAAGGTTGTGGAGGAGATTCAGGAAAGCGTCCCTTGGCTTGTTTTAGGGCCTCTGCACGATGATCGTGAAACACAGCTAGTCTGCCAATAACAGGGAAGCGTCAAATGCAGTTTGCCTTAAACTAGTACTTGTAGGAGAAAGAAAGCACGATGCAGATGGTGCCCCTGACCAGACACATCACCAAAAGATTCTCTGAGCTGCCATGGCCAAGGTGCAGCAGTTGCAGCAGGTTGTACCAGATAGCACATCGCGAAAAATGTGTCCGGTGCAACCAAGCTGTCAGAGCATGTCAGAGCCTGGCACGACTGGCGTTAGTACGCATTGCACGCATGTGACGGTCTCTTTGCTGCAAAGAGTCTGCAAAGCGCATTTCTTGATCAGCAGCTCCTCCGCAAGGCTTGAATCGGCTTGAAGCTGTTGAACTAGAGACGCCCATTTTGATGCTCTCATCCTGGCTCTCCTGCACCACTAGCAACTCAGATCCTGACGCTGATTTGTCAAGCATATGTTCGAGCACAAGTCGTTCGGACATTGCTAGCCACATGGCGTTCGGTCTCGCGTTGCTTGCATTTGCGCTGAGCGGTTGGCTAGCCAAGGCATTGGTCGCACAGGAGCTAACAGTAGCTATCAGAACTGTGGCTTTAGTTTGGGGTTCGAAGCTGCTTATGCAATTGGACATCCAACTAAGAGCAGGTGACGACTGTTGAGAGCCGCATCTGTGCTGTTGGTCGAGGAGATCAAGGTGGGAAACATGCCATGGCTCTGGCTTTGTTTCTGCCAGATGCCCAGCTCAAGCATGCCCCCCCTGCAGCGCATGACGCCGCTCGCGGAGTTCTTGCGCTGGTGGTGAAGCTTCCACTGCCGTTTGCGGTTCTCGTTCTGCCAGGATCAGCAGCCACGACTACAGAATGCTCTGCACTGTATCTACGCAGGATTTTGGAGCCTGCTGTGCTTGAATCCAGTCTGCTAACAGGAGCTGTAGTATTGGCAACTGGTTCAACATTCTCATATCTCATTCGTGGCCGCAAACAAGGCCATCGCATGAACAGTTGCCTCGTCCCGTAGGTTTCAGATGGTCAGCAGGCAGCAAGTCAAAATGAGTTCTGGAAGGCATGAAGCGAGTTAATGATGACGATGAAGAAGAACGGGGATGGATGGCTTTATACGGTGCCTTGGCATCTATCTCATCAGTTTGAGACTGTCGCAGTATAGATGAACCCTGCCGGAGCACATCAGCTAAGCACATGCGGATGGCAAGCATCGCTTGGTTGAGCGGCTAGATTTCAGGCGATGTTTTCAGACCACCTCCACTTGGCGGTGCGCTTGGTCTCATGGTTGGTGCAGGGGTTAGCACGATGCTAACAGAACTGGCCGAAGGAGTGCCTGCATTCACGAGTTTCCATGACCCATGTTGCAGCTACAAGTACCGTCTCTGCGCGCAGCTTGAAAGGACTCTACGGCCATAGCTTCTTTTCCGACTGTTTGGCAGTGGCCTGTGCCAGTTTCTGCCTGGGGAGGCCGCTCATCTTATGGAGCTCTGGGGGATGCACGTCCCACTATGTCCCACTCATCTTTACACCGCGAGTCTGAGGTTGCATGGAGCTCTGGGGACAAGCTGTCATGCTGCCTTCGTGGCGAGCATTTTGGTGGTCCTTTTGCAGATTGCTGTGTACCTTGACGAGCTTCGCGCTTTGCAGACGAACCTGCGAGTGTCCTTGAATCCGCGATTAGTTTGTCAGCATTGGCATGGCCCAGCAGGGGTGCAGCTCGCTGTGCCACCTGAGCACATGAGGACGGGTTCTGCTGAGTCGCTGAGGACATGGTTCGTCGCGCTGCACGGGTTCGCCTTCGTGGGTGTTCACACAGGCTGCCAGTTCAGTGCTCTGCGGCCGAACGGATTCTTCACCGGATTCAAGAAGATTCATCGAGTGATTCCGCACTCTCCACTTTCCCAGCGACTTGCAGTAATTGGATGATTTTCCTCGACCCCAGTGACACCGGCCTCTGGACAGTCAGAGCATGAGTGTCTAGGAGTGAGATCCACCAGCGCCAAAGATGAACTAGGCTGGCCCCTCTTTTTGGAGAAGCAGCCCTGATGGTGTGGATTGGCATGGCCAGCTACTCGTACTGGCCGTCCCAGCTTTTCCAAGTGCCAGCGTTGCATGGCTGATCTATTTTACATGTCCTTGATTATTTAAGTTTTCCGCCCAGTGAGACAAACAACCTGACAGCAGAAACTTCGAGCAAGACCGGACGCTTCGCGTATATAGAATAGACATGCTCGCAGCAAGAAGACAGGGATGTGACGTGTCGACCGCTCCAGCCCAAGGTCGGTAAGTGCTACACTGGCAGTGGTGTGCTCTCAACTATCATTGCTGATGATACATCGCAGGCTTACCCAGGACTTGAGAGACCAATGAAGGGTTCACCTTGTGCTTTGTTGACACTCACAGCAACTAGAAGCAGGCTTAACCGCAAGAAGTAAAGGGTACCGACGAATGTCAAGCTCGTCAGGAAGATTATCGCTGGTGGTGGCTGTCGTACTGTTACGGAGCTTTCATGTCCTTCTGCTTCGATGCCTTCCGTGTTTGGACTGATTGCGAGGCGTGGTTGTCAAGAGGGCTAGCAGCTTCTGTGCCGCTTCCAGTTGGCCAGGATTGTTGAATGTGGTAATCCCTGTGCACCATTCTGAAGTAGTGCAGGACGTAGCGCACTCGTGCACAACCCGTTGTTTCTCGTGACAGCCTTGAACGTGTCAGGATCAGGCACGCTCTGCCTGCGGTGTGGCTTTGCTTGGCTCGCTGCAGAATGCCCTCATTGCTGGAAGCACATCTTTTCTGATGAATTTGAGGATGATGCTTTACGTTTACTCCAAGCTTGTATGTGATGATGTCTGAGCTGATTGACTGTTGACCAGCGCGTTCATGGACCGAAAGTCTCTGCATTGGATGACAACATCAGCGGCTGATACCAGAAAGCTCTCTTTGGAAGGCGAGCGTTGATGTCGGTGCGGGAGGGATTAGACGACTCGACTGCTGTGTGGCGGTCGGACCAGCCGAACAATGCCACGTCAGTCTTTGAGGGGCTGCCCCGAGCGAAGGCCTGGTCGCAGGGAATGCAAGCCACTGCCGAAAAGGAGTTGTCACGAGCAGTGACGAGCAGCACATTTTAGCTTGCGACGACACAGCGGGCGTGCGAAGCAGGATTTAGTGTTCGACCTCCTGTCCTTGATCTCTGGACTGCAGAGGCAAAAGAGGCGCTGAAATAGATCGTGTGGTGCAGCAAACTAACCCCGGAATCAGCGGTAATCATTGATTTAGCACCATATTAGGTTTGTCCACTGGCTTTATACTGGATGCGCTCAGGGGGCGAGCCTCTGCCACAGCCATCAAGTCACAAAATGCCTGGGGCTCAGACTCTGCTCATACGGCAGGGAAGGTCGTCTAGCCGTCTTGCGTCAAACGTGTCGTATCCCGTCCCCCAGCAGCTGCACGTTCGTGCTCCTCAGGCTCCCCCGAGAAACGAACTGGGGTCAAAAGGGATGCTGAATCGCCGCGTCGGGACCTTATTTGCCGGTTATTGGGCGGGTAGTCTTCGAGGTGCCAGAATTTGCATGCCTGCGGACGAAAAGCAACAGACTTGAAACAGGGGCTACACGGACTCAAGATCGATTGTTGGGTGTCCCGAAAAAGGGACTATGGTCAACTTGCCTGGTCAGTCTCGATGACGTCTTCATGGAGCCTGTGTGCAGGAGCGGCGCGAGAGTTGGCACAGCAGGTCTCTGGATGGACATGCGCAGAAGGAGTGGATGGACGTCCCCTTTCCATCGTGCCATCTTGCATTTGCCTGGCAGGAGCCACGGCGCTCGGCTGGACCAGCTGGGCAGGTGCAGTCCCATAGCCTGCTTACTGCCATGTAGCAGGCAATCAGGCTCTCCAATGTCAATATGGGCAAGCCTCAGTTGTCGACAGCATCCCCATCATGAGTATATACTTACAGCACGATAAGATGTTCCCCAGTTTCATTTTTGCGGCCCTTGCCGAGGAAATGGCTCTTGTGTGGCTTTGATGATTGGGGGCAAAGGCTTTTTCGGAAGCATTGGACAGTCGATTAGGGTTCTGCTATCTTGTACGTAGTATCATTGACGTTTTCCCAGATGGTGTGACGAGCAGCGTCAAGAAATCTACTTCACCATTCAAGAATAGAAGGCACTTTCTCGACTGTGAAGGATGCCCCTTCTGCAACTGTCATCGGTGGCAACGCTTCCAACGAGGCACAGCACAAAGAATGTTGCACTCATACCGGTCATACCGAAGCATGAGGGAGGGCAGTTTGTGCTAGCTACTTGTTCTACTGATCATGAAACGTTGAAGCTGCATCGCTATAAATCCCAGGTGCTTTCGCTGACTCTGGGAGGGAAAGGGCTAAAGCATGATTATATACGTGGGCCTTGCGGCTGAAGCTTTGTCCCTTTGAAGCTGACGGCCGTGCAGGCGGCTGGTGGTGCCAGCAGTGGTAGGGCCGGAAACGAACTGGTAGTAACGGCAGCTAGCCGCCAGTCCTTGTAAGGTCGTTGTAAGGCCGAGAGCCAGGACGAGGTCCTTCACATCGACACACACGCACACACACACACACATACACTTGCTTGTCAGAGCTCGTGTGTGTAGATAATATAAATATACAAAGACTAAATTACTAAAAACATCTTTACGTACATACATATGTATGTATGCACGTGCACTTGGGTGTGCTCCAATCGTTGATGCTCGCGAGATGAGATGTCAATCGTTTACGTGGGAGGTCAGTGTGTCCTGGGGAGTCCTGCGTTTGTTCTGCTTTGGCCAGTCGTTGTCCTTGGCATCGCTGCTGTGCAAGCTTGGAGTTGCCCTTCACGCGGTGTCTTCGCCTCAGCTATTTCTTGGTTGCCGAAAGGTCAGAGTCATTCGAGTCATCAGCTGGTCTGCGTCGCTTCATTCTTGGCTTGCTCTGTTTTCTGTGGTGGCTTCCAGGCACGGTTTCAACTGCCAACAAGCCGTGGACGAGCTCTCATCGTTGCCAAAGAGGCACTCGCCAGTGAGCTGCTTGTGATTGAGCACTGAACAAAATGAGAATCCATGGAACTCAGCCTGTAGGGAAAATCGGCGCTGGCTTCGTAGCAGCTCCGAAATGACTATTCTCCGCTAGCTTCGGCAGGAGCATGGCGCGGATGCAATCCCAACCTTCCCTTGTGAACTCATCATTCTGTGATAGGCTGCGGCAGGTTTCAAAGCGTCGGCTCTGTCATGACATACTGACATACTGGAGCTGAACACTGAGCGCGTTCATTCGACTGAGGGGCATGTTGGGTAGGCACTATGAGACTGGATACGTGTTGGATTTGGTGGGGCTGGCGGCCCGGAGGAGTCTCAGGCATTCTTGCTTGTGTCCTCCACTCGGTTTCAGGTTAAGTCATTTTGAGTCAGCGGACTACAAGAAGTCCGAGCTGGCATACAACCAGGCAGCACAGATTTGCACAACAGCCTGACGAGTCCACAGTCATGGCAGTTGTTGGGAGGCTTGGAGAGTAGAGCCTCATCGAGTTGAAGGAGCGTGGGTGGGGGGAAGGCAGCTGACAGTGGTTTGAATCTTTCGGCCAACTGACATGCAGAGCGGTTGCACTTGTGCGGAGAGTGTGTGTGTGTGTACCAATCTGCCAGGACTTGAGTACTACTCCTCTGCCTTGTGGCACCTTCGCAGAGATGTGGAGTTGTGTCGGGCACCTGGACTTCTGGGACAAATGAGCAGTTCGGTGTCCTGAACAGATAGATCACAGGTAGACTGGCGCAGCAATGTTTACAGTGGGCCTGCACCTTATCTCGGCTGGAGTGCCGCAACTGTATTGCTGGTGCTTCTCAGCAGTCCATGTCGGCAGACTGAACCTCGGAAAGGGATCGCGTCAAGATTATGCACGCTGAGCTAAGGACCGCCTGAGACCTCAAGTGTGGTGCGTGGTCGGAAACTGCTTCAGGCAAATCCAAGATCAAGTCTCATGATATTTCATGCAAGCGACCTGAGTAAGCCTGGTCGCCGCCACGCCAGTTTGCAGAAAGAGCACGATGCTGCCATCAAGCTCTTTAAGCGTGCCATCCAGGCGAGAAGACAGACATGACACATTGTGATCTTCTCCTTGCCTCAAGGCTTCGAGCAGCGTGTCGGCAGGTCGATGCCAACTTCACTTATGCGTACACACTGTGCGGCCATGAGTTCGTGGCCAGCGAGAAAATAGACAAGGCGCGTTCCCGTGCTTAACTCAAGGGTACCGTCGCAGTGCGTGTCAGTCTCGAGAGTTGCGTTTCAGATTTGGCGGACCTGCTTGCAATAGAAAGTTCTGTGAATTGAAGAGTTTCCCTGCCAGGCCGTTGCGATGTACGAGAACGCCTTGAACCTCGACCCCCGGCACTACAATGCCTGGCACGGGCCATACGAGAGGCAAGCCGGTGGCCCCAACAATACAATGTCATCCAAGGTGGGGTCTCGGCAACATCTACCATCGCCAAGAGGAACATGAGTGACTCGACCGACTCTGTGAGAGTTTGTTATTGCCCTGAGTATCAACTGAGCCAGTCAAGCTTGAGGAATGCAAAGTACCACTTCTACAAGGCAAGCACCGCATGCAAAAGCTGAAGAGGTTTCCGAGGATGCGTCAAGAGTTGCAGGCCCTCCAAGTGAATGCGAGCAACTCTGTCCTTAGATGCTACCTGGGCATGGTTTGGGGCTGAGAGGCTGTGTCTTAAAGTTCGCAGTGCCGAACCAAGCCAACCCCGAGGTGCTAAGCGCGTTAAAACAGCCGCTGCTGGCCCTTGACAGCTTCGACCAGGTAGTCGCTATGTGGAGTGCTACAGCCATGGTGCATTCGACTCTGGTCATGTGAAGGCAGCTCAGGCAGAGCCACAAAATGGCATGGCGTGCGCCGCCGAGGTTAAAGATGGTTCAAGTGCTATTTATGGCTGCGAGCTGTAATGTTCTGCGGAGGTACTTCCAGAAAGCATGCGTCCTCATAAGCTTGGATAGACACGAAGAAGCCCTTGCTGACCTGAAGAAGGACGGGGAAAGACATGACCGTTGTACTTTTCACACCGTGGGTGAAGTTTGCTTTGAGTCTCCATCGTCCTTCAGCTTGGAGCCGGCGCAGGTGCGCTGCTTGGCTCCCAAGGAGGCATGCGTGCACTTCCAGCTAGGTAAGGCCGGAGCTTTGTACGATTTACATGCCCGCACTTCACAGCGACAGCGTGGCACAGGTCTACATGAAGCTGCAGAAGGACAGGAAAGCTCTGTACCATTTCAACATCGCTGGAAGCACAGTTCACCAGTTGAAGACGTGCTGGTAGCTGGCAAGCTTCTCCTGCTACCGTCTCGGTTCACAGGCCATGGACTTGAATCGAGACTCCAAGGCACGAACTCATTGTCAGTGTGACTGTGACGCTACTCTGACTATGCCGTGAGATGACTTGACTCAGGATTACCACACCATCAAAACTCACATCGAGAAGCTTGCCAGGAGCTCAGGTATGCGAAGCTCCCCTGTAGCACAACCTCCTTGTCGTAACCTTGCGGCATGCATGGGCTCGTTAGTGGTTCATGTTGATCTGCAAGCTGCACCTAAGACGTGTGCATCCTGCATGGTTAGCCAACACGTGTCTACGGGCGGGCTGAGTTTCTTGCCATGCTCTCGGCGCATGGTTGCGCGATGTCGTACGAAAGTCGGAAAGGGTTTGACGTTGCGAAAGCCGCAGCCTTGTGAGGAATGTCCACTGGGTGGGAGAACAGGCTTTACAATGTTTCCCCCTTCTCTGAATTCTAGGATGGTGAGACCAAATAAAGCGCCACTGCCCTCTAGCTACTTTTACTCGACTTTCCATGGCAGCACATCCGCGGCATCAGCGAGGATTCCACGGGCGTGGAACCTAGCAAGGTTGCGTCGGATCATAGATTCGAAGGTTCGCTCGATGAGGGTGGGAGTGTTTGTTCAACGAAGGTGAAGCATCAGCCGGCGCAGGTGCTCACAGGCACGACGTCACAACAGCTGCTGAGCAAGACGAAGTATGATGTTGCTGCACCGCAGACAGGATCATGAGCGCTGCCCCACCAGGCCGAGCAGTGGGTATTTGCTGCAGTGAGATTGTCAGATGTTTTGCAGCTTAAGACGTGCATGTTTTGACCAATTTTGACCATGTGCTGCGTTTGACAGTTCTGGTGACCGGTGGTCTTTCCTCCCCTGTGGCTGCACAGCAGCTGTACGGCCTTCCTGGCACGTGAAATCCGAGCTGCCATGCGAAGCACCGTTCGTTCATTGCCAGGTCTCAGCCCTGGCTCCCGCCCGGGCTCAGAGGCGCCACAAACACCAGCGGTGCGAGGTTCCGGTGCTTCACTGGCTTTCAAGAGAAGTTTAGAGATTCTCCAAATCCCGAGCCCAAGGTGTTGCAGGCGGCTTTTGGAGCGCGAGCGCGAGTGGTAGTGGAGGCGTGTTTCCTCTCAAAGTCCGGCTGACGTCTCTTGACACGGGCTCTCTGAGACAGGTCCCCCCGAACGCGTTCGAGCCTATCCCGTCACAGCCCAACGCGCATTGCCCAAGATCACGTCAACCACGACTTGCCGCTGGTCCAAGTGCGGATGGACTCTGAGGTGGTCGTGGCAGCCCCTTGTCTTGGGGAGGCAGCAGCCGACACTTGCTTGTCGACGAAAATTCCCCAGATCTTCTGCCGACTGTCGTGCAGGCAGCCCGGGCAATGGCCTTCAAGGCTCCAGTGGATTTCGCATCTGAGCAGTGCCGCGCGCCTAGACCCTCACTTTCATGTGCATGCACAATCGTTTGACGTTGTACTCCAAACCGGCGAGAAGCCTCGCAGGCTGCAAAAAATTGCGAGCTGCACAGCGCTGAGGTGTTCCATATTTACTCTGACCGGGGAGGAGAGGGCCCTTGGCAGTGCTGCTTAGTGGGCGGCTGTCGGTCGCATGCGCATGCGACTAGTGCTTAACAAGCACGTGCCAGACAGATGCATGAATTAAGCTTGAAAAAAGCCTTCCGGTTGAGCTGAACCTCCCTGGCGGCCGTGCTGAGTAACTTGAGCTCTTCAGCACCGCGATCTAGATCAAGCCACCTCGAGACTGCAGCTATCGCGCGGGTCATCGGCACGTCGGCATTCACATCATCACCTTCGTCGTTATCATTCTCATCGTCGTCATCATCCTCAATTTCTGGATGCGTTCTGTCGGGATGGATTGCCCCAAGAAAGCATACACTATTTATAGCAGTTGTATTCATGCGTTTGAGCAAATCGAGAGCATTCTGCCAGAGCGTCTCGGGATGTCGCCCCGCGCAATACGCAGCTTGCGAGTGTGTTCTAGGCCAATGCTAGCTTGCTGCACATCGCAAGGCTCATCCGAATTTCGCATCGATCCTATCCACATTACTTGCCGAAGGCATACACAAGGAAGTGTACGTATTAACGATTCATGGCTACGAAATAGATTAGTATGATTTGCTTCTAGAGATGAACCTTCTTCCAAGTTTAGGTTTGCCAAGA